ATCTGATTTGCAGTTCGGGAAATCTGGCCACATGAACGACATAACCTGGCACAGAAAACCGATGTGCTATATTAACAGTCATTTGGACACATAGAAATTATATCTAATAATAATATTATTACTGTAATATCAAAAATATAAATAAGAATTAGTTCTTTTAATATAAAATTGAGTATAAAGAAATATGATCATAATAATACTTGGACACGGATTGTTAAAGAGTTAATATATATTAAATAAGCATCTAATAACATCTCGACCAAGCAATCTTATAAAAACATTAAATACTAGATTATCAGGAATCAGAAGCAAAATATGCAAATATCTGTTGCGTTACCTAATCAAAATTTTGATTTGGTATCTTTAACATTGCAGAAATGAAGTAAAAGTATAGTTACCGTCAAAATAGTTGTAAATTACGCAGATCAATATAGTATATCTGAGAAGCCTTTGGACAAATTGTGGACAATTGTGGACAATTTTGAATAAAAAAACAAATCTAAATTACTCAAAATTTATCAAGATAATCTATTTTAATCTTTTAAGCAAAAATATTCAGAACTATAAAAAATATATGATCATATATTTTTTAAACTAATTTAATAAATTTTAAAGCCTAAATATTCTTTGGATGTTTGGACGTGGGCATGGGCAAAAAAAAGTCTTGGACATAGTAGACGTGACAACACTGCTGTACTGATCCGGTGTTATATATATTAGCGTTAGGGTTAGTAATTATAGCTATTAGCGATTTGAGGAGTTAAAAGTCGGATCATACATTCAAATCAAATAGTACAATAATGCAGACCAAACTTTTGTAAAGCCGGTACTTTATAACCGGGGTTAAATCGCCACCCAAAAATTTTTCAGTTCGTGTGATTTAATAAGTACATTATATCTATCAATTATACGATGCTTATTACAGTATTAATAAAATTTTCATAAAAATAGTAAAAAAGTGTAATTTTTTGAATATGTGAATGATGCAATCACATGATCTGAATTTTTTTTAGGTGGTGATTTTAAACCGGTTGTACAAAATATAAATTTGATTTACTGAAATTTACGTGCATTAACACAACCCTAATTATAGTTAATCTCGGCCTACACTGATCGGCTCGCCTATACTAGTCCGAGGATAGCATCAATGATCAGCAGTCAGTGTAACAATTGACGTTTAAGTGAAATTGATGAAACTAAATATAGCAGCCAATAAGAAACTTAAGATGAACTATGGTGAAACTCAAAATTAAGTTCACCTTCAACTTTAGTAACAATTTGAAAAAAAATCTTTATTTGTTTCTGCTTCGGATCTTTATAACTATTGACCCAAAATCAAAACCATTTGAGTGCTGCCAAGGGAAAACCTACAATCGGGCTTTCAATTATATTTTGTATACAGTTTGTCTCCTAAGTGCCGTCTAGAAAAAATTTATTATCTGGCTTTCAATTATATTTGAGTGCCGCCAAGGGAAAACCTGTCATCGGACTTTCAATTATATTTTGTGTACAGTTAGCTGTCTATGAAAAATCTATCATAATGATACATAGATGGCTAACTGCACACAAAATATAATTGAAAGTCCGATGACAGGTTTTCCCTTGGCGGCACTCATTTTGTGATGAGTTGTCACAAAATATAATTGAAAGTCCGATAATAAATTTGCCCTAGACGGCAATTAGGGGACAAGCTTTATACAAAATATAATTGAAAGCCCGATTATAGGTTTTCCCTTGGCAGCACTCATTTGATTATAAAGTTGTTCCAAATCATAATTTAAAAGTTTAGGATAATTTAAATTTCAAACCCATTTCAAATTTCCAAACTAGTCCCAAATTTCAAACCTGTGATGATACTGTACGTGCTTTTACTAGTTCTGAAATATTTCAATAAATGTTCTCGTTACGCTTCGGACAATAAACCTTACAGAAACATGCTACTTTTGTTTAATAAATACACTATTACTGTATATTATTTTATTATTATTTTTAAGATTATTTTATTATAATCTTTACAGAAACAATCAAAATTTCGTTTAATAGATACTATATTATTTTACAGATTTTGGCAGTCAAATTAGTATAGTTGCATCAATTCATACACTGATTAAAATTCTATGATTTTGGTACTATTAGATTCAACTCAATATATCAGATGAATCTAATGGTACCAAAATCATAAGACTATAATTACTAGACTGTTAGCTTGTATGAATTTGAATAAATATATGAACTAGATATACAAAACCTGTATTATATTATTTAAGATTATTTTATTATAATCTTAAAGATTTATTATAATAAAATTATCGTTATGATTTAATTCTTTTAAGATTGTTATACGATTATTATATGATTATCTTAAGATATAAGATTATCATAAATTCATTGTAAACGATTATAAAATCATTATCGTTATATAATTTTAATAATTTATTATAATCATTAAGATTATAATAAAGTAATGAAAAAATATGCAGGTTTTGTAAAGAAATCAAATTTCATACGTATTCAAAAAATAATAGATGGCATTAAAGATTTCGAACGAGCAAAAAAAAAAAACCGGATTCTGCAGTATTAAAATAAATAAATAAAAATAAATTTGACGTAAATACGTTTTAAATATAATTTGAGCGAATTCGGTTCAAGATTCGAAACAATAATCAAATATCTTTTTCGATAATTTTGTGATTTTGTCTTACAGATTGAATTTTTCATTATTTTCTTTTTCGATAATTTCGTGATTTTGTCTTACAGATTTAATTTTCATTATTTACTGAGCTCGGCCCTGACCAGAGGCATATACGATACGTACGTACGTACGTATGTAAATTTAATTATGTCAATTGTGTCGCAGAGTTGATTCTGGTAAATAATAAACAATAAACTTGAAGGCCCAAATTCTGATTTTCCTTTGGCATCACTCATCATAATTGCAGATCAACTGTTCAAGTCCAATAAGGTTTTTCATCATGTACAGTACAAAGGATCCGGATATTTACCAAATTAAAATCGGAAGGTTTAAAAACCTTTTCAGTATAATATAGATTATCATGACCGAAAAATGACTTATTTTGGAAAGGACAAGTAACCACTCTAATCTAATCTCTGATTTCCTTTTTTAAAAAACAATGTGGCGAATGTAAATTTAGATGACAAAGTATGACAAATTTAGGTGATAATTATTGTGGCTATGTGTGACACATTGTATTTATTATATCGGCCGTGTATATCACATAAATGATACGAATGGGTGCTGCAAAAACCTGTAACTGACCATAGTATTCATTATGATCAGTTACAGGTTTTTGCAGCATTCATATAAAGGGAAGTTAATGGTATATTATATACACACGTATAGATTAGTTTTAATTTTATGTCAAAGTGAGACATGCAAATTAATAAAAGAAATTTACTTATATAAAGACCTTAATTCGTATCGAGAAATTCTTACGTGTTAAAGGAGAATTATTCTTTCGAACTCGTTAATTATTTATGAAACGATAAATTCACAATAAGAACATACTTATTTATAGGTTTTAATTGTAAGATTTCCTAACTGTCGCTATTTTATAATTATCTAAAAATTAAGCTTTCAATATGCATAGACTGGTTCTGAATAATTGTTATTTCGTTTTTAGTCATCTCTCCTTACCGCCTTTCTTATCTTTCGAATCTTCAATTCATGTTGTTCCTATTTTCAACTTCTTGCCTGCTCTTTTCTTCATCCTTCTCGCGATACTTACAGCAAAAATTCTTTATTATGTGATTTATCATACATACATCTCTCCACTTTCAAAAATTCCTGGCCCTGCATTTTCTTCGGTTACCGAAATTTTAGTTTCATTAAAAAGACCAGAAGGTCGTGTATTTGAATGGTTTTATTCATTACATTTGAAGTATGGTAATGTTGTTAGAGTTGGTCCCAAATTCATCCTATTTGATGATTTAGAGGCTATAAAATTTATTTTAAAAGATAGTGTAAGTTTTAACTCCATCTTATTAAAAATATAAGATAAAAAAAAACACGCGCATTTTATTAAAATTTTTTATTTTTCTTATTAGGATATGCCAAAAACTCCGTCTATTGCAGGAATTCGAGCTCACTACAACTTGCCAACTTTATTTTCTGCCACGTACGTTTTTTAAAACTTGTTTAAGTGTGTGTCATGTGATTTATTTTAATCTATCTATTTTTATTATAAAATAATTATTTAGTGATAAGACTTTTCACAAACAACGCGTAGGCATCTTTTTTAAACAGTATCTTTTTTTGAATAACATTATATGCTATAATAATTAAATAATTTTTTTTTTTTTTTTTTTTTAACGATTTAACAATTCCAGAAACGCATCTTATCGCCAGCTTTCTCTATAAAATACGTAGCGTCACTTGAACCATTAATTCAATCATGCGTAAAGTCATTAATCAAAAAAATCGATTCACTTTCAAAACTTTCACCTAAATCTTCACACTTATCAAACTCGACATTTAATCAATTTAATGATGATAATAAACCAGTAATAAACCTTTATCAATTGGTACAATTTTGTGCTTTGGATATAATTGGTGAAACGGCTTTCGGTGGATCATTTAACATGATTGAGACAGGAAGTCATCCATTACCAATGAAAATACTTGATGAGATGAAAAGACGGGTCATGTGCCATACGTTCCCTTATTTTAAAACGTTCTTTAAAAAAGATCCTTGGTGTGATGAGGTAAATGATATTTAAAATATAAAATTAATGCATAACTTTAACATTCTTTTTTTTTCTTTATTAACAATTTTTTTTTTTTTGTTATTAAATTTATCAAGTTTATCTCAAAAATAATAAAAAATAGAATTGAGCAAAACTTAAAGACAACAAAAAAACGTATAGATATTTTACAAATTCTACTTAACAACCATAATCCATTAAAACAATCCTCACCAAATACACCTGTTGACATAACCGATGGTAAAACAATGAGTAACTTTGAGATACAAGATCAAACTATGGAATTTTTAATAGGAGGTAGTGATACAAGTGCGTTCACTATCATTATGGCAATTATCATGTTACTCCAAAATCCCGAGAAATTGAAAAATTTACGAATAGAATTGGAATCCGCGTTTCCTATATTACAAAATCGTGTAATATCGAGTGAACATGAGGATGACCTATTTTTACCGTCCCATGATATTTTAAAATCTCTCAAATATTTGAATGCAGTAATAGATGAAACTTTACGACTATTTCCAGTTACATTAGGTGGTATAATGCGACAAACCACTGAAGATACTATAATTTCCAATCATTTAATCCCCAAAGATACCATAGTTTCTGCATCGGTATGGAGACTTCATCGATCTAAACAAATTTGGGGTCAAGATGTTGATGAGTTTGTACCTGAACGATGGTTTGATTTAAATCCAAAGATAAGAAGTGATGCTTATTATCCTTTTGGTAGTGGTTCTCGGTTATGTATAGGAAATAATTTTGCCATGATGGAAATAAGAATTATGCTAAGTTCGTTGATAGGAAACTTTAATTTCTTTGTCAAAAAAGATGAAGATTTACAGATTGTACAATTTATTACTCCATCGTTGAGGAGTAAAAAATTTGAAGTCGAAGTTACTCGACTACGTGAAAGTAAAAGTAATAATACAACTAACGCATGATTAGTCATTGCTATGTGATATATTGTTTGTACGTACATATTTTGTAATCTTTTAAATAGAAATAATAGAAATAGTATTTAACTTTTGTTTCTAACAATGTACCTAATAAGCGGAGGATGGTTTTTTTTCTATACTTTCGGAATGTATTAATTCAAATATGCTTGTATTAATAAAGTTTACATAAAAAAAAAAATATGGTTTATTTTAAATTTGCCAATTTTTTAGCTCTTAAAAACAAATTACCTTCAATAATTTACTACTATTTAGAATTAGAAAAATCTACATCAAAATCTTACTTAGAAATACTTAAAAATAATTTTCCTAATAAAAAAATTTTTTAATTTAAAAAAATAAAATAAAATATTATTAATTTATATAATTTGTATATATGTAGTATCCTCTACCTTAATGGTTAAAAAGTTGTTGGTTGAGATTACAAATTATTAATCACGGTATTTCATGTCCCTTGCCTTGGAATTGATGCGTTAATTAATATCCCTTACCTTGGCGTTGAAACACTAATTAATTTCCCTTACCTTGGAGTTTGATACATTAATTAATGTCCCTTGGAATTTGATAAGCTAATTAATGTCCCTTACCTTTGAATTTGATAAGCTAATTAATGTCCCTTACCTTTGAGTTGACAAGCTAATTAATACATGCACGAAGAGAGGTCATAGTTTCAAATTCCAAGCACTTACAAATATTATTTACAAATTAAAGTTCATTGCTGCTTACATATAATGGACAAATACACATATATGTCATTATATTTGCCGTATGTAGACGACAAGAGTAGTTTAATTATAGTAAAAAAAAAGTGTACGTACATATTACATTTCTCATAAATCCTGGGACAAATTAAAAGTTTGCTCTTTCCCGAAATTGCTTCGGTTCTCATTTAACTTTCCGGAAATTATATATATGTCTCCAGATCGATGTTCTGAAGATAGCTGAAGATAGTGATGCGATTAAAAAGTTAAATGATTCATGGGACGAAACCAAGACTCCAAAAAATGGGTTTGACCCAGAATTTGTGAAAGCTGTTGTAATCCTGATGATCCTACAATATCGGATGTCAATCATGTAATATAATGGACACGATTTTGTAATTTAGACAAAAAAAAAATAAACGTATGCATATACGTATGTACGCACGCACGTATTTAAATTACTAACCTAAAGTTTCCAATTTCAAGATCAAATAGAATGCCATGAAATGACTTTATGTGCCCTAATTAAAGTTGACTGCTGAAAATACGTAGGCATTTTTCGTCTCACCGAACCGAAAGTACGTACATTTTTTTTTTAAAAAAAAACACAAATACGTATTTGTTTTCTATATGCATTTACAAAAAGTTTAATTAAATATAAATAACAATTTACTTGTGCTTTCGGCATCAACTATAAATTTATCGAAAGCAATTCGGTGCGCCAGAATATTCTTATTAGGATTATTAACATTAGAGTATTAGTGAAAAATAGGGTGTACCCTTAGTTATATATCAGATTTCATAGGTCTTACTATCGAGAAAGATTGTATTTTTTCCTAAAGGTAGCACTTGTTTTCATTGATTTGAATAAATAATACATTCCTATGATATGCGCCTTAGCAACATTAACGTTAATTTTTTTTTTTTGGATAATTAGGAACTCACATGATTGAGCGGTATAATTTACAGTTATATAGTTAATAAAGCTACGTATGTATATATTACTTAATGCATAAAGGATTTCTTTAATTTGGATCGTTAACTTAGATCTATTAATAAAAGAAAACTATATACAGTATATAGTTATAAAAATTTTTTATGTTGCATTAAAATAATTAAAATGAAATTATGTTAAATATGGTTAAGAAAAGAATGCAAGGGATAATTGGACGCATCAAAAAAAAAAAAGTGCCGAATATTGTGGTTTATGGATTGACTATTGCAAGGCTTTAGTACATTCTATAAAAAAAAAAAAGATAAGACTAATGAGAATCTTGTCACGGAAACCCTCAACTTAGCCACCACGCAGAATCGGCTAGATATTAATTACTTGCAGTTTGGACTCGAGTTATTCGAAATTTACGTAAAAAAAAAAAAAATCAAGATTACGTGTAATGCACTGCACATCACTACAGACTTGCTTTGTAATCATAACATGCTTGTTTATATGCACACAAGTAATCTAATAGGCCAAGTAATATATAACATTTGGCAATTTCTGGATTACCATTTAATAATACACTACTGTTCCATTTTGACCGCCTCGATAAGAAATTCTAACGAGCCTAAGATTAGATCATATGGTCACGAGATCGTTACTTTGGGTAATTTTAACTCCATTTGGATTTTAAAATTTAGATTCTTCTCATCGAGGATCATTTTGGTGATAAAGACCGATAGATCAAAAGTTATTTACTGCTAAATCTTCCGAACTAAATTAATGAAATTATGGCTGAATTTTGTCGCTGGATTTAAGGTTAATTACTAAAGTTATTAGAGTAAAAAAGATAAATCTTCAAATAAAGTTCCAACTCTGGTATTTGATTTGTCAGATAATTTCTGATTTCGTTGGGAATTTCAATGTCAGGAGCGTCACGTTTACCAACCACTATAGTGCCATTCGTTTCTTTCTAGAGTTTAAGACAAATCTAATACGCGCATGATTAAAACCAATAAAGTTAAAGTAATGCAATAATGAATATTTATCTGCATCGAAACTGTTTTTTCCTTAGACCGAATGCGGTACTCTTGCAGAAAACAGTCCTAATCAACGAAACTTATCGCGTATGGAAACGAATGCAAGGGTTGTATCACTAAAAACAATATTAATAGATTTTTTAACCAATAGTTCGTACGTGTCATTTACTATTACCTAATTATAATCTTTTTTTTCCTATGTATTAAAATAACATATCTAACTTCATAAATCCATATAAATATATCATCAAGTCAAAATCAAACCTTATGCTTTTTTTTTTTCTCGACATAATTATTCTGACCTAGTTTTTCGGTAAATTTTTAAGTTTACCAAAAACTATTATCACTCTTTTATAACCCTAAACTAGTTTTCATAATCATTTTTATTATTACTCATTAATAAAAAAAAAAAAAAATGAAAGGAAAAATTTCACGTACAGTTAGCTTTTGTCGAGAGAAAATGAAAGTTTCAATCTTTGCTATTGCAGTTGCCACAGCTACCTTGGCGTTACCCGCACCTAAGTATGTTGAAGCGGATCAACAAAAGGACTCCAAGATAGACAAAGGTTTGTTTTAATTTATTGATTGTTAAAAAAAAATTTTTTTTTTCACAAAAATTCTAATTTCCGATTTCTAATAACGCCCTTTTTTTTTTTGTAGCTGGCAAACGTCATAAACCACTGAAAACACCAGACCCTCCCATAAAGCCATCAATAGTAATAGTCGAACCACAACCGTCTTACGAACTATACCCTCAAAAATCAACGCCATCATCTCCAAATTTAACGCCAAAACCTAAAAAATCAAATTATAATTGGCATCCTGGTAAAGTGGTTGATCGAAATAATCCTCCTCCACCAGATAGACCTGAACGTCGACATTCACATCAACCAATATCTTGTGTTGATCAACCAGAACGTGAAAGGCGACATTCATATAGTCCTGCACAGCCTCCACGGCCTGATTCTCCAACAATTCCAACTGTTGATTTTGATGATAATGGAGAAGGAAAGGATAATTTGAATAAAATACTAAAGACTAGGAGTCAATGCATAACGTCTTCTGTATTAACTGTCTCACGTGACTAAACTTTTTTAACGATTTTTCTGAACTTCATTATTTATATAGTATATTATTACCGCACTTGTATCTATTTTTAAACATTACCATTTTTTCATATATAACCATTGTATCTAACTATCATGGTAACTCTGAATGTTATTTTCATAAGTTCTAAACATATATTTTTTTTCTATCATCTTACAAAAGATGGGTTTTCATTATTGTTGAATTAGTTATTTTTTTTTTGTCTACTGATTAAAAATATGTTTATTGAACACATCATGGAAGCATCTGACAAGATTTCTTTTTTCCTTTTTTTTTTTGTTTTTTTTTTTTTGTTTTATACGAGCATGTATGTAATAATACATTTCTATTTCATGTTGTCTAATGTATTTTGGAACAAAATTGACTTCATACAGTTGTGGCTATAGAGATTCGAATGGTGCACATATTGTGCAGTTTCACTGAAATCTAAACAATTTAAAACTTCAACAGCTTAATAATTTATCTCTTATAAGTAACCTATTCTATGATAGATTGACAGATAATGCATTTTATTAGTCACCTACGTTGCAGGAAATTTTTTACTTATGTCTCTTGTCTTTACCTAGTTATCGGCACTAATGTCTACCGTAGATACCATTAGGTCAATAATATGCAAAGGTAGATAAATACAGTAACTAAACAATGGAAACCAATAAGTAGTGCTTATATTTGTAAATCTTAACTTGTTTTGTCTCATATGCAGATACATTCTTGCGTCAGATGACAACTGAATTGGCGTCCTAACCTAAAAAATTTCGATAAAAAAATTTAGTTGTTAGAATAGGGTTAGTTTCGCTATTAAGTTAGAAATAGCTTTAGTAGTACCAAAATTTCGCAAAGAAACCTTTTTATTAGTGCGCAGGTGTTTTCATAAAGAAAATGTTGAGTTATGAACGATTTAAAATTTGATTGGCCAGTGAAATTTTTTAGGTTGGTAAGCTAGGAAAGTATCAGATGACACACGACCTGAGGCTAGGACAAAAATTATCGCAGAACATAATGAAATCGGATTAAAATGAAATAAATGGTTTCTATTTGACCCACTTATATGTGTTTATTATAAAACCTGCTTCTAAACCTAATCCTAACTCTAAAAAAATGCACTCCAAAAATTTGTATCTTTCGGTTGCTTGTCTATCCCTCATTTTATTTTAATCTGTTTTATTTTAATCTGCCACAATTATTGCTAATCACTTAATACTTGTTATTTAATAGTTATCTGGCAATTTCACACAAGTGTTAATCTGAGGCACAACATATGTATATGAGTGTCACTAAAGAAAACCCGAAATTTAAATATGACTTATATTTAAATTTTCAAGTTTTTGTTTAGCGACACTCATATATACAATCAAACCTTCCCAAAAATACATTGTTAGAACCAGCTCAAGGGCGTGTATTTCACAGTATATAGTAAACAATACCAATTCTTTAAAAAAAATAAACTAAATTGCTTATTTTTAAAATAAAAAATTAATAAAAATAAGAGAAGTTATTTCAAAAAACTAAGCTTAGAAAGTATGTTTTCAAGTTGTTTATTTATTTTTTTTTGTAGTCAAGGCTAGCCTCTTTGGCTTATCACATTTATTAGATTGTAGAATCATGTGATGTTCTTTTCAAAGGCCCCAGACAAGTACATTCTGACGAGAGTACATTCTAGCCATACCTGTGCCTTTTGAGTGCCTAATTTAAGTAGTCTGCCTATTACTAGGTTTTATACTATATGCTATATCTATAACCCACCTATTATTTAAGTTATCCAATTAAATCTTCTAATTCAAATTGCCTATATCAATTCATTTAATCTCACCCAGAACATGTGATATATTAGTCAGTTCAAGTTCTAGGATCGTTGCGAATTACCTATAAGACTATTGGCATAGTTAATCGATTCATCCTCAAGGTTATCACCTGCTAGAGCAGTTTGGTATCCACTATTACTGTATTACCTAGGCTTTTTTTTAGATAAGTCTTGTTGGATAGGTTCTATATCTTTATGAGCAGATCACACTGTCAATTCTTTCTGCAAATAAATTTATCAGATAGGTTCTAAGCTTTTATGAGCAGGTCACACTATTGAACTTTTCTGCCCTTGCAAAGTTTACTCAAAACTCGGTACTCTTCCTTCAAGACAACCTGGTATCTTTTCTTTCAGTACTTTTTAGTTGGTCTTTTCAGACTACCAATTCAGATGGCTTAGAAGGAACACTAGTCCTATAGTATTTGCTAATCCTTTTCTTCTGGTCAATGCTCAAGTTAGATGGCCTAGTTGGTAAAGCAACTTGCCAAGTGCTTTTGTTATATCTAGTTATCTAGTTTTAAATAAAGCCTATTTCAGTAGTCACTATTGAAAGTTTGTGCTACTTCTCTGCTTAGGTCTTGCTAAGCAGGTGTCCATCTTTTCAGTTTGTTGGACTTATACAATTATAAGAACTAATCTTGGGTTTGCATTGCCTGATTGCATACCTTCATATAACTTATATATTATATAAATGCTCTATGATCTCTCAATCTTATTGGTATTACCAAAGTTACAGCGATTCTATTCCAACTGATCATCAAAAGATAGTAGCTGTTATATAAGCAGAATATTCAAAATTTCACTGTTGATAGGTTTTAAACCCCACCTACCAACATACTACTTGAAATATGACAACTTAACTACACTATTAAGTCACTATATCCTTCAAATTGTTTATTTAATTTGTTTT